CTAGAAAATCTAAGAGGTGTGGACAAATTGCTAGACCTATGAACATTAAAGACTATGCATGTGAATATTTTTTCACTTGAATTAAGAAAAAACTTTATATTGATTTTATAAGATATGTATCCGCTTCTCAAACTCATTATAAAAAAACTTATAAACTTCGAAAGCGAATCTCCACATTCTAAATTCTAATAAACAGATACGTTTTTATGTGAGCCCATAACTTACAGATTTTTTTAATATTTTGCTTGCTAGATGCGTAATAAAAAATATCACCTTTTTCTGTAACATAATGTAAATCGTAAGTCCTTTTCCCTCTTTACGACTTACGATTTTCATGGTAGCAATGAAAAAAAAGCTTAAGTTCCAAAAAAGGTTAACGGACATGCAACAATTAATAAAATTGAGCTATATACAAAAATTTGAGAAAAATGGAATGGATAATATTTTGATCTTTAAAATTTTTGCAAGTACTACAGACAACTTAAAGAGAAAAGTTTTTAGTTCGAAATACATATTTTTTTCTATTCAAGATTTTGTAAAGTATATACCAAACAATATGCACCTAAATTATGAGAAGTAGAACCAAAACATGTAAACATAATTAGAGAACTTAGTTTTTTCAACAAAAAAAAGGAGAGAAGGTAGGAAGAATGGTCAAAGACAAGAGCATAATGGTCTGCCCAAAAACACTTTCTTAGTGTCAGCCTCAGAGCTGAATTGAAAGCACTGAAAGCTCCTTTTAGTCATCATGTCTTTTTCCTACAATCTATTTCCATTTTTATTTTCTTATTATTCTTACCATTTCCACATTTTTAATTCATTTTTTCTATCCGTATAGAGAGAGATGTATGATAAATTAAATGAAGCATCTATTATTATTTCTACTTCTAGTCCCTAAACCTATCTACGTGGGCACACAATCTTCGTACCAAAATGATAAAAGTTTTCCAACGTACACTTTTTTTTGCTTCAATTTATGCATATGTGGACCATTATGCTTCATCGAGAAGTAATTACAGTTTAAAACTGGATCTATTGAACAAATGATATGGGAAGGTGAAATGTTTCATAGCTGGTTTAGTTGTTTAGTATTTTAAAAGAAATCAAAGTCTGCATGGATGGAGTAGAAAAATCATGATCAAGTCTTTTTTATGATTCTATAAATAGTTTTTCATTGAGAGACTCTCTATTATAAAAAAATATAAAAAAATTCAAAAATTAAAAAAGAGAAAGAAGAGAATCTTACAAATGAGAGACTTTGAGAGATACATGCAGTAGACCATTTATTTTCTATCTATTGGTTCAATTTAATATTTGTAACTAAAATATAATTATATAATTAAAATTTACTAAAATACTAATATTTTTTTTGTTTGAGAAACTCAAAGAGTATCTCATTGTTGGAGATACTCTTAAAACTCTAGATAAAAACACTTCGATGTCTGCGAGAATTGGGAGATTATCTTTCACTTTTTGTAGCTATTTGACTTTTAAGTTCTTATTGAAAGTTTGCTAACATTTTTGATTTAAGATTTTTAACATAATTTGGATTTTTATTTATGTTTAGTAATTAAAATATATTATTTGCATCTTTAATTATATGAAAACAAAACATTTTATTATTCATTGAACATCTTTAATAATATTGGCGCAAATATGAACAAAAAAATAGAAATATTTATCACAACTTATTTTATGAAGCGTTAGTTAGAAATCTTTAACATATATATGTCCTTCTGAATATCTTTACCAAAAAAAAATGTCCTTCTGAAATATTGTAAGAACTCAAACTTTGATATCACTATTGTTTTAGAGTTCTTTTGTCAAAAAAATTTAGATTTGTCAATTATAATTAAAAAGATGTTGCTAACCAGTAATATATAATAATTATATCTTAATAACCAAATTATATTGATATGGATTTCATGATGATATTTTACTCACTGCACACTACGTAACCACTCAAATTAATTTGATTTTTGTGTATCTCTTGAAACCCTAATATATCCAAAAATATTTGTTATTTTGTGGGATTCAGATTAAATCAAGACTTACAACAACAACAAAAATAATTCAATAAAGTTTAGTGTTTTTTAACATCTACTTTTAAAAATGTCTTGAAGACTTTATAAATTGATAAGAACCCTACATGAACACATAGATAATACTATGGAAAGACTGTTATGATCTATGTACACGGATGCAGGCCATCCAATTTCGAGATTAGAACAACAAAACCAAACCATGATTATATATATATTCAAAAATCAGTAAGATGATGTTAATTTTATATGAGTGAATATTATATTTGGGGTGAAATTTGACTAGCTTTTCTGTTAATTAAACTGATATATCATTACTTACCATTGATCCTCGTTAGCTCTTATTCTCCAACATCGTTGAAGGTGAATTTAAAGTCGCAACTTCCGTTTTTATTATCGCATTCACAACTTTTTGAATTTACTACTTTTGAGTTTCTTTTCACAGAGAGCCGACAAGGCATTCCATCACATAATTGAGACCTCTCAGGAGAATTTGATGCTGCAGGTGATACAACAGTAAAAAAAATCAATTCGTAGGCTAGCTTTGACCAACATCAGAGAATAATCATTGGACTACATTTTATTAATATGCTTAAGTAGATGTTAAAAAACTATATATATATATATATATATATATATATATATATATATATATATATATATATATATATATAAACGACTTCGAATATATGTCTCAATATCCTTGTCCAAAAACGAATCATTTAATTCGTCAAAGCTATCATAAGGATCCATGTGATACATTTGAATTAGCTCTACCACAAACTGTGGGTCCTTTAAGTACTATAATTTTCACAAACGTAACATCTCCTAATGTAGAGATGTCTTGTTAAATTCCTAGGTGTATAATAATTTGGATTTTGATTTGACTTAAATATCATGTGTTTTCTGATTTTGGTGATATACCTGTATAATGTCGTTGATTTAATCCGTAGCATCATCAATGAGATTTTGATTCCTAAGACCATAGCATGTGCATAACATGCATGTACATGTATATTTTTACTTTTTGTGAAACTAAAAGTTTTCGAAAAAAATTGATGTATGAAGAAACATCATTTTTCTCGTAAAGTTATATGTTACACACTTACATGCACGAGAGTTCATATCAATATATCAATTTTTCAGAAAATTTTATCAATTAGTAGACTGAATTTAATTTTTTATAAGAGAATAGGAAAGAGAAGAATAGAGGTGAGAGAGATAAATTAAAACACATGTACAAAAGAATCAAAAAAAGAGGTACAGTTTTCGTTAACTGACCACTGAACTGAAAATAAATGAATGTGTTGGTAAAGGAAAAAACCCAAACCTTTATTTCATAGGATTTGAAATTAAATCAATTTGACAGTTTTGTCAGAAAAAGGAAAACCTTATTTGAATATATATTCATTAACTTACATATGATTTTCAGGTAAATAGACAGTTTCTCATTTAGTGTAAAACCCAATAATGATGAATATGTTAACTCTACATTATAGTCAGAGTTAAATGTTGACATAGTCATAAAACTTGCAAAATTTGGTATTCTTGGTATATAGATCTGGTCCGAACTATCTATAGATTTTATGTATATTCAACTTAAAAGATCATGTGTTGCTGAAAAGATATCAAGCTTACATGACGATAATCTAATTGTAATTGGATGTGCCAATCCAAAAATCTGGCGTAGTTTGATTTTTCTGGAAATACAGAATATATATAAAGACTACGAGATGGATGACATAACATGTATTTATGTCTACCCATACTACAATATTGTACATGTTGTTCTATTGATTTCTTTTGTAAATACATGCACAAACATGAATCTGAAAATTTTTTTTTTTTTTTTTTTTTTGGTCATCCGAAATTAATTAGAGCTCAAAAGAGCCATTTCTGAGGAATGTTGTTTACATACGTGATATGAAGCGGTTCTGTACGAACTTGTCGTGCAAGATTATCCGTTTTTGTATTAGCACTACGAGAAATTAAAAATAAAGAAAAACTTGAAAATTCTTCCTTGTCGCTCTGAAATTCCTCCAAATACACTGAAAATGCCGACCATTCGGTTGGGAAAGACACCATCTTCACCAGGTCAGAACAGTCTGTAAAGAACGTTACCTCTTGGTTATCTGCACCAATCATACACTTCATTGCCCAAATAAGGGCCTCGACTTCTGCATGTAATGTAGATAGACTTCTACGGAGGTTCGCTGCTCCCATTGTTAGCGGTTCTCCAGTTGATGATGTAAAAACATGAATCTGAAAATTGTTCTTAATAAGATTATTTTTATTTTAAGTCACTAGAGACAAACTACAACGACTAGGATAGTGTATTATTAGAGAAACTTAAAATCTGTTTATGAACAAACTAAAAATTGAACCATCGAATCTTTAAACACAAGTTACACTCCAAACCTTATAGCTGAGAGCACGTCTGTCTATTAAAAAAAAAAATGAAAAAATGTCATCAAATAAACGATTTTTGAGGATTTTTTTTTTAACTTTTGAAATGATATTTTAAAAATTTTACTTAGTAAATGATTTACACTTATACAATAAGACCATATATAATATCCAAACTAAATTTTAATTTTCCGTATTATTAAGGAAAGTTCAAAAATTTAATTTGCATATATTAAAAAAACTTTGTTAAAAAGATTATCTTTTTCTTCAAAAATTATATATCCTTTAAATTTAAAATTATATTGTATCTACGTTATTAAACGTCTACCATACTTACAGTTTTTAATGCGTCATAAATTATGTGACTTTTTCTTACTTGCCAAAAAGAAAACAAAAAAAGAGTAAATAAAACACGAATAAAGTAACGTTAGGTAAATGGCTAAACACGAGGAAAAGCCAAAGAAGTAAAGAATTCAATTTATTATCTCCATCAAAATTTAATAAAATGAAATAAAAAAATTAATAAAAAAAATAAAAAGATGCTTTGGGGAGTGGATCTATAAGCTTGTTATATAAAGGAGGATAGATAGTGAGGGTTTTCTACCTTCTTCTACCTAAAGGAAGTCTTTACACAGAGAACCAAAAGAAAAATAAAGAGAAAAGAACAAAAAAAAAAAGGCTTTAAATTTGTAAATTTAGAATAAATGGAAGAACATCTAAATCCATTAGCAGTGACTCATCTTCTTCAACACACACTAAGAAGCTTATGCATCCATGAGAATTCTCAATGGGTTTATGCTGTTTTCTGGAGGATCTTGCCCAGAAACTATCCACCTCCCAAGTAAGCTTATCATCAAAATCAACCTTAAATTTCGAAAATAGTTCTACTTTCTTGTTATTATTTTCTTATTGTGAGTTTTTTGGGGCATGTGTTATAAAATATAGGTAATTTTCATTGAGAAACAATTCTTTGTTTAAATGGTAAATATATATATTGATAATTTCATGTTGTTTGCTAGTAGATGGGATGGTCAAGGAGCTTATGATAGATCAAGAGGGAACAGGAGAAACTGGTATGGTAAAACTACTTATATATATATATGTATATGTACATATGTTACAAAACTTTATGTATATATAAAATTTTCTTGGCGTGTATATATGTAAATAATTGGCAGGATCTTGGTTTGGGAAGATGGGTTTTGCAACTTTGCAGCTTCTGCCGCGGAAATGAGCTCCGGGGAGTGTAGTGGCGGCGGCGGTGGCTCAACGGGCTACGGAAATAGTGATTTTCAACAATACCAAGGGCTTCAGCCTGAGTTGTTCTTCAAGATGTCTCATGAAATCTACAATTACGGAGAAGGGTCTGTGAGGATAATATACACATATTTTTCAGCAAAAGTTAAATGAAATTTACACAAAGAAATATATATATATTTTTTAATTTATATATATAGTTTTTTTGGTAGGATTTCCAATTTATATATTTGTATATAGTACTTTCTCTCTTTTGAGTTTCACTTTTTTTGTTAATTGAGTTTTTGGACCGAAGTCCATACCATTTCAATACCTATTTTCTAACTCACATTTTATATCCATATGTATGTATATGTAACCAAGTTGGTTTTAGAAAGTTATGAGTCAAAGTTCCTCTTTTAAAAAAAAAAAGTTTATCCATATCTGTTTAAAAAGTCTTGAACATTGTTTACAAAGTGTTTTGATCAAAAATTAAGCTGATAAGAGAGGAGTATTTAAGTATTTGTTTTTGGCGAAGGGAATATTAAACTAATCATTGTCAACTAAATATTATAATGGTTGTTAATTAATTTAATAATCCTCTAATGATTGAAAATGTGTTATTAAATTTTGTGCAGGTTGATAGGAAAAGTAGCTGCAGATCACAGTCACAAGTGGATTTATAAAGAACCTAATGACCAAGAGATTAACTTCTTATCTGCTTGGCACAATTCTGCTGACTCAGTAAGCATATGCTTATAACCTACATATACACTATACACTCCTTTACATACACATATTTATAAGAAGAAAAAAAATGTAGCAATGTATATATGTGAAATTTACACACACATATGTATAAGCATTCTTATTCACTAACACTAATTGAAAGTTATGTTTTTTTTTTGCAGTACCCTAGGACATGGGAAGCTCAGTTTCAGTCAGGTATCAAAGTATGTTTCTCAACTCTCTCACTTTTTTTTTTTTTTAACATTTTCATACATGGTTTTACATATATGTATTATATATCTAACTATTTAAGTATATATCTTCATATATAATTACGTGAAAATGTTTTGCAGACCATTGCCTTGATTTCTGTTCGAGAAGGTGTTGTCCAGTTAGGAGCTGTTCACAAGGTTTTTTTTCTCTCTCTCTCTACCTTACACATTTTGTATATATATTCATATGCAAGCAAGAAGATATATTTACGTATTAAATTGTTATATTAATTAAAAGGTGATAGAGGATTTAAGCTATGTTGTGATGCTAAGAAAAAAGCTGAGCTATATAGAGAGCATCCCTGGAGTACTTCTTCCTCATCCTTCTTCTTCTGGTTACCCTTTCATCAACGCTTCTCCTTCTGACACGTGGCATTTCCCCGGAGTCGCTCCTCTTCCGCATCAGCAGCATGAACACCAGTTTTATCACTCTGACCACAACCACCGCTTCTTGATGGGCCATCACAACCAGCCACAAGCGGTAGTAGGAGGGGCTGCACCGCCTCTACCACTTTCGATGAAGATAACGCCCTCAATGAGTAGCCTCGAGGCGCTTCTCTCAAAGCTTCCGTCAGTTGTACCTCCGGCAACGCAGCCGGGGTACTACCCGTTTCACCACAGTGCTAAAGAAGAAATGAGTCAAGAAGAACAAAACGATGCGTTTAGGGTTGAACGTAATGATTTGGTGGGTGAGGGTAGTAATAATCATAATCATAATAATTACAATAGTAATAATGATATGTATAACTATAGCAATAATTGCAGCAACAATAAGATCGGTGGGTTTCTTAGTGAGGATTATTGAGTCTAGTAAAATATCTCTTTTTTTGTCGTACAATAAGTATAAATTGTACTAAGAATTTTCGTAGTCTGACATTTGTAATTCTTAGATTTTATTTTTCTCTTAGTTGTCAAAAATAATATAAATTATTTTCTTATAATATTTGCATTGTAGCAGTATGTATGTCTTGTTTCTGACATAGTGACGTAGTACGTTGTTTTAACGGTACTTGTGTTAAAATGTTGCAGATTCCATGTCTTGAACAAAATATTACGTAAAAATTATAAAGTAAAAAAAATAATATGTAAAATATTCTTACTTTTCAATGGAATTTCTAATGTTAGGCTTCTTTGGACTTACCAAGTTGTTTTTCATAATTTCAATTTTTTTTTTTTGAACGTAATGTTAAATTATATTCAAAGAAAAATATACATTTTTACAACGAGTGCAACGGGCAATCGAGAGAAAAGTTTGAAGATTACAATCTGATTTTCAAAAGAAATTTGAGAAGTGTTTGAAGCCAATCAAGCTCGAGTGCTAAGCCATATTTGGAACGCCATATCATACCTCCTGTCTCGCATACGTCTAATGGTGGTGATTTGGTTTCGAACCTGATAATCAATCCATCCGATGAGTGTGGCTGGGCTGTTGTGTGTATAAAAGAGTCATGAAATACTTCATTTGGTCAAGAAATAATGTAATTCTTTTATAACTAGCACCAAAAGTTGAGAAAATCGTAGTGCCGATTAGTTGAGAAGTGAGCAAAGAACTGATGTGGTATAGTCAAACTTTTTAGATAACTGATGTGGTACTGCACTGTTCCATATGAATCACATCTCATGACTTTTAAACTTTAGATCATCATATATACAAATATTATCCACAAAATTTTAGGTATAAAGGACTTCTTTTATTTTGTTTTGTTTAGCTATATATAGCTACAATAAGTGTTGAAAATGAAATTGCTATTACTTTGACCGGTATGTTCATACTATAAACCAGATAACTAATCAAATGATTGCATTACATCGTTTTATGTTTTAATAAATGTTCAAGAAAACGGACTAGGCGACGCTAAATATCATCTCACTATGACGATTACACTTTAATCAACATGTTTAGGCAGAAGTGAAATTTCAGCAATATGGACGGCATGTACACAGTTTTAGTAGTGCATAAACAATAAAGGAGGCCTAGGTGTCTTTATCTGCCATACACAATTTTGTTTAAAAGTAAACTTTTGTCCGTTTAATTTTCCAATTTTTCGTTTCCAATTATTATACTGATTTTAGTTAATGATATTACACAAAAATAAGTTTTTTTTTGTAAACGAAATAGAAATTTTTTCCTAAAAAACGTAACTACAATTTTTCTTACTAGTGCCATGGAAAATGAGTATTCATAATGTTTTCTGAGAAGTAATATATTGTCGTCTTAAATCTTTCCCATAGACTAACTAAATTAATCAATAATCGCCACTAATATGACAAATCCACTCATTAAACTTGGAACTACGACAACACCAAAATCATATGAACGCATACATTCGATATAAATTTCATTCAAAACTCAAATTTTAAATTTGAAATCTACGTAACAAAAATTCTAATACACATACTCGACAGAATCATCAAAAAGGAAAAGTTTTATTAATGATAGAAAATAAATTGAAGGAGAACAAACCATTTGACGAAACAGATTCTCATAACTCAAACTATCAAAAAGTTATCTCTCTTTAAACCCAGATTTCACACAAAGCCAACGAATCACACACACAAAACGTTCTATGAAGAAGTCTAAGGGATGTGATTATATATATTGAATTGGGAATATGTATATGAATCTTGGGATACCTGAAAAGTTCTCATAAACCACGTGGGAAATTGTTGATTTGTCCTTCCTCCAACACATCTTTGCCATTAATCTTGTAACCCACCCTCATCCGCATTACAATGGGTTTCTGAAACCAGGGAAGAACAACGATTATTCTTAGAGCTTTGTGGTCTCGGTTTCACAACAGATTGAGGTTTGTGCTGGTTGTTATAAAAATCTGGTGAAGAGAAAAAAAAAGACAAAGGGTACCTTCCCCTGTTGGCTATTTGTAACTCTCATAGTTTGTTTGATGTTTCCGTTGGCTGGAAGAGAGTTGCTGCTAGCAGGATCCAGGTGAAGTTGTAGAAACTGCAATGTGATGACAGAAATATATTAGAACATCATCGTCAACAAAACATATCACGTAAGCCTAAACCGAAACCAAACTTAATCCAAAACATGTCCAAGTATTTGAACTAATAGAACTTTGCAAAAACATGAATCTATCATGGCCATAAAAGTGTGAACTGTTTAAGCCAAGAACCAAGCCCATGGCAGAATTTTTGTTTAGGAAAGATTGTGTTCTTATTAGCTATGAATCATAAGGCTTATAATGTAAGCAGAAAAAGCAAATTTGGGACCTGACCTTTGGAACTGCAGCCTGGAAAAGAAAATCTGTGTACACGTTAGGAGTAAGATTTATGAAATTGGCCACAATGTCTGTAGTTTGAGGATTTTCTGATTGCTTTGTGAAGTTGAACTCAATCTTCAAGGAGCTGCTTTCAAATGCAACAATGGACGGATATGCTGGACCCTTGTCCTCTGTCATGGAAGAAAAGAGATGCAATCATCACATTTGAAAACATGGAGAAAGAGGGAAAATTATGCAAGTAAATCTTCAATGATATTGCGCATCTTTACCGCTCTTTGGTGGGGTGGGACCAAATCCATCCAATAAATCCATCATCGAAGAAGGCGCAGAAATTGTATCCATGGAGGCTATTGGAGCATTGTTATCTTGAATAGATAACAAGTCTCCATTTGTTGAGCCATTTTGCACAGGGGCAGGAGCTCCAATTGACAACAGATCCATAAGAATATCCGCGCCAGCTTTTGATGGCTGCATGGCACCTGAAATTGACAAATGCAGGGGTAAATAAAGGGGCCGAAGATTTAGAAACTATGTGAAACTTCACAACTGAACATCCTAAACTCTCTACAAAACGTAACACCATTTACTTATCTTCACTAAAAAATTTACAGTTTTCTTCGAGTCATAGTTAGGACAGGCCATACTGCAGTTGAGGAAACATGACCAGACAAAATCATCTGGCTGAAGAAAACATATATGAATTATGATCTAACTTAGACCCCAAGAAGATAATGCCATACAGATGGTTAACATTATCAGTTGCAATACAAGAAAATCTGAAATAATTTAATTTTTTCTTTGAACTGGTGAAGTGGAATAGTAGAAGCTTGGAAATCTAACCAGGTTGTGCTGAAGGCTGCGTTAAATCAATACCAAGAAGATCTTGAAGAAAGTTGTTACTGGAGGAGGTAGGTGCAGGAGTATCATCAGAGCCAAGGTCGAGTAAATCTACTAGAGGAGCTGGAGCAGCTTTAGCAACACCGTTTGGAATGCTAAGCGGAGATTTTCCAGAAGTTGACACAGCTGCTGGTAAAGAACCAGCTCTCCTTCCACTAAATGTTGCCTCATCAAGGACCGGCATTCTTTCAACCAGGGCAGATCTGCATATATATAGATTGATTGTGTTGAGTAATTTAGTAGATCAATACCTAGGGAACTCTCTCATTCAAAATTGATGAAAACAGATATGTCCAGTAGCATTGAAAGAATTACCTTATATTCTGATGCTTTTGAATAACTGAACTGAATTCCAGGGATCTTTGTTGCAGTTCTAAGACAAAGCTACCTTTGTTCTGCCCTATAATACTTTTAACCCTCCTGTAAGCAAATACAGTAAGCCGATCATTGGTGAGAAGTATCATTGACTAATTTTCATTGCGACCTAATTAATAAAAAAATTACAGGGACATGAATAGAGTTCATGCGTGATTATAGAAAATCTAGAATCAACTGTGTAGACATAATATAGCTAGGTAGGAGTTGGCATACTCTGAACAAGAAGGGAAACGGGATGAGATCTTTAACAGAGCAATGAGTGACATTGCCTTAGTCGTGACATCCGATGTATGATGCTTAATAGCAGTCTCGACAACATCCACTGCATCTGATTCTGTTACCTGATTACAGAAGCTTGAGAACACAAATTAATCTCTATCCTCCTAATATCTAAGTTGAAAACTATATCTTTAGCATGTAAAGAGGATCATTCAAAATGTTGCAGGTAGAAATGTTCAGTAATGAATCTATTTGAATGAGCAATCAAATAATAAGGAATAAACATCCCCTTAAGACACAGAAAATAACAGCTGAGACGATACCATTTTCTTCACTTTTTATCAACCAGAAAACTAGCCAGCGCAGAAAATCCACAAAACGGAGAGTTAATATTTCTAGGGGTGTGAGGATCCCCAAGCAAATCAGTGAAGCATAAAAATTTTACAAGACAAAGAAAAAAAAAAGACAAAGTAAGAAAGAGATCCCCTAATTGCGCATCCAGTATCAGTCACAACAATAAACCCTTAGTGCAGGATGATAGTACTTACCGTTATTGGATCTTCTAAGTCAAGCATTCCAGCATTGTTAACCAACAGATCAGCATATTCTCCTATGCACCATATTGCAACGCGGACAAGCGTTTCCTGCCCAAACATGATAATGACACTCTTACTCCTAAGTTACAAGATATTCAAATTTAGGAAATGTCTGACCAAAGAAATATGTCACCTACCTGTTCAAAAGATGTATGTAATGCTCTGTACAAAGCCCTGACAGTGTACCCATGGAGATCAGGGGCATTTGTTATTACAACAATCAGCGCGTGCCATACATCCTCTTTCACATAAGTTCCAGCCTGTTATGAACATAATCAAGATTAGAAGGCTCAGATTAGGATCTACTTACTTTCATATGAAGTAAAAAGTTTGTTGTGAGTTAAAGAAGCCTGCATGTCCTTTGGTGCCGATAAGTATGGAAAAACGTAATCTCACAACCTGGGCTAAAAATATACCTCCGATAGAACCTTTAGCATTTGATCAATGTACCAGATTTTCTCTGGAGCAAACCTAGTCAAAAGGAAATACCAAAATTCAGTAACCAATCAGGTCTGATGGACACCATTTATCCAGGCCAGCATCTGATAAACTTTAGGGATTATTAATTGAGCTTAACGCCCAACTTTGATACAAATTAAAATGTTCAG